TTGTCATTTCAAATGTTAATGTTGCTGTCTATGAATATTGTGTATTTTGTTTGCAGTTTTATTTCAACCCCCTTGCGCTGGCAACTGGTTCGCGGACCATAACGAGTGACCGAACCGTACACAATAAATCGTCGCTTTCCTTTTCTTTTGAACTCGTCGGTACGATATCAGTGGATAGAAATTATTAAGAAGTAACAAACTTATCATTCGTTTTGTGTTACATTTAAATATATTTAAGTATATTTAAAACTGAGAAAATATTGCCTTTTTGGGGTGAAAAATTCTCGTCATTCCAGCGCAAGAGGTTAAATGTTAAAGCGTGTCATTTAGAACTGAGTTGTTTCTCTGATTAAAAAAGAAAATCTCTCTTTCTTTGAGAAATATACTATATCGACTCTTGAACGATAGCCATCCCGTTTCATCGTGTTCTACTGACAGAGTGCAAAACTGTTTTAATGTACGAAGACTAGAGACGAGCATAATATTATTACATTTAAACAGCTTTGAGATTCAGTAACTTGGTCAATCTCGTATTATCAAAATTGGTCAGCCGTTCTGTTTCTTAAAAATTTTCCAAACATCCCATTCACAATATCGAAAGTTGTTTCGTCGCTTATACCTCCGACCTTCTATAAAACTGTGTCTAATTTATTTTAAAGATTCGCACGTGTCTTTGAACATCTTCAACCATCGTCATACAGAAATGAGAATTTTCTTGGAATTGAAATAAAAAGAACTCCAGAGAGATAAATTCATTTTCGTATTTGATTTATTATTTGATCTTCCATTATTTCGCACGTTAGTTAGATAAGAAGAAAATCGTGCTACCATTGGCCCAATGAAAAATATTTGAAGGAAATAACTTCAGCAGAAGTTTCACGCTTTCAGCCCCTAATCATGTACGATTCTTTTCTTTTTTTTTTTTTTCATCAGAAACGGCGCTAACTACGGCCCGAACGCATCCACGCCTAATTTTCGTTCAACAGTGCTTTCAATACCGGCACAAGAACCATAACGAGCCTGTTCACAGTTTCCACACATCCGCAATTACGTGGCCGTTAGTAACGTCGGTGGTCGCGTTCCTTTTCCATGAAACTTCTTTATTTCTGGAACTTTTCGCCAAACTCTCTGGGGTAGTCGCGGCAAAGTCGAAAAGTTAGCGAAAGTCAGTATAACGAGTGATCTTCCGTCTCCTTACGTCAATCGATGTCAAGAAACACGCGTTTCATCAAGAATTTATATACGTACAGTGCTCGATCGATAACATTAAATAACTATTAAATTTCGTTTCTGCTGATTTCTATATTTTTTTGAACACGAAGGACCGGAACTTGAATTTTATCTGTTAAATGTCTTCATAAATGTAGAAAATTTCCCACGAATGTACGAAAATTCGCAGTTTAACGCTTAGAACTACCGATGATCGAAGCATAATGATATCGAAGTCCAAAAAAATAGAGAAATTTAATAATAATGAAGAATATACAAGCTTTCATATATATATATATATATTTTACGAAAAATTACTTAAATCTTTAAAAACACATTGCTTGTAAAATGTCTAAAAAAAAATTATAAATTAAAAATAATACTTATATATATTTATATTCATATTTATAAATAATTATAATAAAATTAAAAATTGGTCATTTTCGGTAGTTCCAATGTTAATCACAATATTAAAAATCGACTTCGATCCCCTCAAATACAAAAATTCTTTAACTCAATTGACAAATGTATCCCTGCAACAGAAGACTTGACTTACCAAGAAAATTTTTGAAATGTAACAGTCCGTAAATTTAATAAGAATCTATTGACAGCTTTACTAAGAAACTAGCACAACAAAAGTTTCAACAAAAGTTTCCACGAATCGGTAGACAAGAAGCAATCCCTTCCCTAATCGGCCAAAAAATTTCCAAAGTCCGAAAGGATCTCGAGCGCCGGCCGTGAGGAACTGCGAAAGTTGATGAAACACGTAAGAAAACGAGCGAGATTCCCTCCATCTCTTCACGTCAACCAGCACGTGCTCGGCGAGGATCGTCAGTTATTTTAACTCGTGGCTCGTGGCCAATAATTGTCGCTGCGGAGCTACCGTGGAAACCGTAGGGATCGTATTAACCAGCGAGAGCGGAAAAGAGAGAAAGAAGAGCGGCCGGAGCAGAACGGAGGGAGAGAACTGACGTGAAACAGAGGGAAAACGCGTTGCGAGAGAAATGGTTGGAAAAAAGGAGAAATCGAGAGAGACGAGCAAAGACAAAGACGGAGAGAGAAAACGGACGTGTAAGAAAAACAGAAACGGAGGAGCGAGAGGAGAAGGTTGGTAGAAGGTGTGATGGGTCAAGGGTCGAGTCGTGTCCTCGGGTATAAGGAGTCGCGAGCGAATAACGTGCTATCTCACATCTCCCACGGGGATCTGACCACCGTGGCCATCGTTCGTTCGAGTAGAGTATTGCTGCCGATCAGCTCTGACCCTTCTTCAAACGTTTTCTCGGGCTGGTGGTCCCTTCTCTGCACGCCCATTTCTCTCTCCCGCGAGTGCCACTATTCCTGATGTCGTTGAAACAAACTTGCCCGACGAAAGCTAACCGGCCGATCCCGCCGATCCTTCGAGAAAGGGGCAACAGTGGATTGTGTGTTATTTCTCGGCCGCTTAACACTGACCGCGGTTAGCTCCAAGTTTCAAGGTGAAAATGGGAGGGAGACTTCGTGATGGAATCCCCGTGGCTTCGATCGTCGTTTCAACGAATGTTTCAACGTTTTCAAGGATACTTCGGAATTCATGTCGGCTGACTATTCGCTAGTATCGACGATAGTTAGATTTTAAATTTTTCCGAAGACAATGTAGGAAGTAGGATGAGTTGAGCATGAGCTGGAGGTTTTAAGGTGAAAAGAAAAGAAATCTTTTTTCTTTTCGTTCATAGTGGATTCCATGGTTTTGAGGGAATATTTGCTAGTATCAATGACAATTAGGTGGCGGGTTTTTTTTTTTTATGAAAATTAAGATTTCTGCGAAGATATTTCAGATAAATTAACAAAGTAAAATACAGATTTGTTTCGTGTAGAATGAAGTTTGTTTCGTGTGTCGAATAAAGTTTCAAGATGAAAAGGGGAGAAGTACTTATGTTTTTTTTGTTCACGATGAAATCCGCGGATTTCGAGGATTTTAAGGATGACGTAAGACGAAATTTAAAAACTTTGAATTTTGAAACTTTTCTGAAGTATTCAGAGCAGCTTGAAGTACTGAATGCCTGTCAGAGAATGTTGTCGCGTTAAAATGTCAGAGAATCACAGAATTTGACGCATATTTGCACTGCGGAAGAAACGAATTGCACCGCCGGCAGTCGGATTACTCGTCGAACACGCGATTTATTTGTGTTTGCCATGAACAAGGAAAAAAGAGAAAACTGAAATCCTGTCTTTATGCGTATAAAAACACGACGTGTCTCGGTCAAAACGTAGAAATTCCAGTTAATGAACACGATAATAATTCTTGCACATGTCCGGGTCAGTCAGAAAGACAGAAAGAGGAAGGATTTAAAGTGCGCAGCCCGGCCTGGCAACGAAAGGCGAAAAAGCGTCACGTATTTCAATTTAAAAATGCAATTATCTCGAAACGGCCGATTGTCATTTTGTTTATCAAGGTGATGAGCCTTGAAGAGGAAACGAAAAATGAGGAGCTTTAAAGTTGGGGAAAAAAGAGACTGATGAAATAAAAAGAATGAAGCAGCTACTGACTGCGAATGTAAATAGAATCGTAGTGGAATGACTATGAAATGAAGTTAATGAATTGGACAAATGTACTCTAGACACTGTGCTTTGAACAGAGAAATTTCTGATTCTGTTTTATTTTTTTTATTTAATTCTGATACACGTGCTTCTGCAACTTTACCCCTTCGTTTCTAATTATCACAAAAGAATATATATCCCCTCTGTGTAATTAAAAAATGTGACAATCCTCTTCGTCACGAATTTCTCATTTTTAAAACATCACACCAGTCCAATTCCAGACATTGTAATTATTAGACGGCGGACTTTTATACAATTTCATATCTTTCTTTCTTTTTTCTTTTTTCAATATAATTGAAGAAACGAAGTAGACATTCTTCTTCGCTATTCCGTATTATAACACGCACGTTATGTTCAAAATTTTATACATTTTTGCATGCTGCATGCACGTCCGTGCTATCCTCGAATTTCTCACACAAATAAAAGTCCGCGGTCTACTAATTACCCTAATGAAATTCATAATAAAACACGTTCGATAAAACGCATTCAAATGAAATGAATTCAATTACTCCGATGAAAACACAATTTCGCGAGTCTCTCAGTTTCAATCTAGCCCAATTTCAATTTTTAATTACCCTGACAAAACACGATACATTGCCCCCTCCAACCTAAAATAAAAAGAAAAAAAAAAAGAAAATTCAACAACCGTTTTCCCCACGAGCCCCTTGATCCACCACAGTATCACTTCGATCCAATTTTCTATCGCCTAATTATTATCATCGAACGAGCCGAACTAATCGAGATCAGTTTCGAACTTCATCAACGGCTCGTCTCTACCCGTTTGACTTGCATCGTCGGCTTATCGAACGCAGATTTTGAGTACGCTCGTGCATATACATACATACATACATACATACATATATACATATATACATACATACGCCAGACGTTGATCGCGCGATGATCAAGAACGAGCGAGGCGTAACAATTCGAGCTCGCGCTGACGAGGTATTTTCAATTCGAATGGCAATGTTACACGACCGCCTGTGCCCAACAAAAGGTTCAGAAACAGTTTATTGGTTGTTTCGTCTTTCTTCTTGTCAGTCGAGATACCGCGTGACAGATCCGACCAGCCAATCCGTTTCACAACGTATCGTGTTCTGTGTGCTCGCTACAAAAGCTCGCAATCCGCGCTACGCAACCTCCATTCCGATGTTTCAGCCAGTCTTCCCTCTCACTCTCTCTCACTCTCTCTCTCTTTCTCTTTCACTCACTTTTTGTTTCTCCTCCTCTCTCGTCCCGACTCGCCCCGTCCGTTTCGTGTTTTATCTCCTTCCCCTTTTCTATTCTTCTCTCTTCCCCATTTTCAACCCCTCCCTTCCTCTAGCCGCTCGCTCGTTGGTTTAACAAGCGCATTTTTACATCCGTTTCGCGTCAAAAAGCGTTTCGCGCATATAAGCATGTGTAATTGAACATAGAAACATTGAAGGGGCTTAAATTTCAATCTTCCCCCGGGTAAGCCCCGACAGTTTCCCTCCCCCCTCGGGCCGCCACCCCCTTCGCTTTTTACCGTCGACTACGTCGGGAATAACTCTGGTTAACCGCGTGTAACGCGTTCGGCGGGCGATTATTCGTGTTAAAAATTGAAGCTCACAGGGAGAGAGAGAGAGAGAGAGAGAGAGAGAGAGAAGAGGGAGGAGAAACGAAATGTTTGAAACATCGATCGCGGTTGAACGCATACGATGTTTAATCGCGTCGCTTTCTGCTTTTTTGCGACCGGGCCTCCTCCGTTCAAATGGCAAGATTCTGCATTGTCTTGTATCACGTTTTATTTAAAAATTTACCATTTGATTTTACTCGGAAGGCAACCATCCTTTGGCAAGGTGGTATGCAGTAAATATAAATATAAATGCAAAATATAAATATTTAAAATACAATATAAATATAAATTTAAAATATAAGATATAAAAATATAAAATTTAAAATATAAATGTAAAAATGTAAAATTTAGAATATAAATAATTTAAAATATAATCTAATATTTAAAGTATAAATATAAATGTAAAAATGTAAAATTTAAAATATAATATAATATTTAAAGTATAAATATAAATGTAAAAATGTAGAATTTAAAATATAATGTAATATTTAAAGTATAAATATAAAATACAAAATTTAAAATATAAATATTTAAAATGCAAGTAAATATAAATATAAATTTAAAATATAAATGTAAAAATGAAAAATTTAAAATATAAATATGATATAATATAATATTCAAAGTATAAATATACAATACGAAATTTAAAATATAAATATTTAAAATGCAAGTAAATATAAATATTTAAAATACAGTTATTTAGAATACCTGTATTTTAAATATTTAAAATATAAGTATCAACGAAATAGAATCGAAATTTAAATGGAAATATGACGGATTAGGAACTTTAAAAATTGGAAAAACAGAACGAAACGAACTATTATATTCTGATAAGTTCTAGTGTGGTCTTCAAACGACAGTTACTGATTATTAAATTGAAATCTTGGTATCAGGTGCGAAAAAATAAATAAAATTAATTAAAAAATAAATAAGAAACACATAAAGATGATGTATTAACCAACCTCAATCAATTTGTAACAGGTTTATGGTATTATAAGATGCTTCAAACAAAAGTAGTATGTCAGTGAGGATCCGTATAATTTAATTAATTTAACTCCGTACAATAATTAAACACCTAGTTAAGTTTGAATTATCTTTTACAAGTAATTTAAATATCTGACAATATATCTTCCAAAACCTATTAAATCAATTAGAGACCAACGTTGTTTTAATCATTTCACATGCAATTTCTTTCAATCGATTTAACTGACATCAAATACTGTTCTCCAACATCGTGATTTCCAGGAATTCTCTCAATATTTATTATTCAATATTGTTTAGCCTAGACTTTACAATTTCTGTACGATTGAGAAAAATTAACGTGTCCGCGACATCGTGGCAAATTGTTTAACTGGTTCGCGGACCATAACGAGTGACCGAACCATTTGCCTTACATTTAAATATATTCTTAGAAACTGAGAAAATATTTGCCATTTTGGGGCAAACAATTCTCGACGTGCGTGGCACGTTATTCCAGCGCAAGAGGGTTAATCCTTAATAATAAACAAATCTTTACTCACGTAAAGAAGATGAATGTGGATCGGCGTCTCTTTCTCGAATCGAGGAAATAGAAGGGAGGTTAATATTCGTCTGCAACCAGCTGCCTGGACTGGGCGATACTTGTTCAAACTCGTTCCTCCAATTCCGATCTCGTATAAACACTCGCGTATAAACACATTCGAAGAAAGCGTATCCTGTTGTTTGCAACTGTTCGTCCGTAAGAAGAATGCCACGATCGTCCGATGCAAAGTACGAGACGCTCGACTCTCCCCTTCCCCAGACCGAACATGTTACGTCGTTTTATGTACACGTGCTGTTTAATGAAGGTTTTCGGACTCGGTCCGAGTATTTTTTTTTTTTTTTTTGACGAAGGAAGATTAATGTAACAACTATAATTCAACAAAAGAGATAAGAAGATTATTCCAACAACAGAGTCTCGGTCGTAAGTAGGAAAAGTCAGCGGTTCTTGGAACAGCTGTTCGAAAAAGTAATTGCTTCTTGGCACTGCGCGAATACAAACGATGAAAACATACGTACGATGATTTATAATAACATATCGGACGATCAACGCTAGAACTAACTCGATAATAAAATGTAAAATCAGTGAAATTCATGGGTTATTTTGCAAGGGACGGGAAGAAGTTTATAATGAAAATATAACGATTTTTTTTTATTCGTGTCGTACGATTTTACGACAAACTGTATCTGCGACGAATTTATCGCAGTGAATCTGGAAAATTTTTGCGGGAAGTTACGAATTAGTTTTGACTAGTAATCTGTCGAATAATAATTTTAATAATGTTAATATTTAAAAATATTTTAAAAATAATAATAATAATTTTGACCAGTAATCTGGTAACCCTGGTTTTCAGACACTATCCGAAACGAAATCTATTTGATACTAAATATTGAAACTGTTGCAATTAAAATGACAGAATCAGCAACATGAAGCCCCTGTTATCAAAACACACGATTCCAACTAAGAACTATTTTCTTTTCTAAAATGCTGTAAATTATTATGGTACGTAAAATCATTGAAAAATATTTTTCAGGATTGAACCTACTACGGATTTAAAGTCTCTCCAACGACCTCTAAAAACTTGATGTACAATCTTTTTCCACTATTTTATTGAAACTTTGAATATTAAGCTTGGACGGCGAAAATTTAAGAACTCATCTCATTCAACAAATTGACGAAAAAAAAAAAAAAAAGAAATCGTACAGCAATTTCGATGGATCTTTGTAAAGAGGAGACTTCAATCTTCAAATCCGTTGCAGATTCAGTAACGAAGAAAATTTTTCAATAAGTTTGCATTACGACAGTATTATAGAATTTTCGAGATGAAAAGCGTTTCTTGTCTTCACTTTGCCATTCGCTACGTGGCGCACAAATATCCTAGAGTAAAATGAACGATATATTTTGATAACAGAGAGCTTCGAGCTTCAAAATGAACTCTAGTTTGTTAGCTCTCTGGAAAATTATAACAGTTTTAATATTTGGTGTTCGAATATTAACGGGAGTCACTGTAAGTAAAAATTTACGCTCCGTTGTATTCTAATTGAGTGAAATGTATATATACGTATAAACGGGATGCTGCGAGAAATGAATGTAACGCAAGGAACTGTACAATGGACGCTCCGTTGCATTTCCACGAGCGTTTAAGCTCGTTACATTAAGTTGTAATATTCCTCCCTTTTCATTGTCCCTTGAGAACACGATGCAAGTAAACATCTATCAATCGATTCTCAGTCGAATTTCATCTTCGATTATTGAATATTATTGCTGCGCCAATACGAAGCAAGTTTCCCGCCTTAAGTAAGCAATAATTTTTAATCTGTCAGCCGAGTCGTTTTTCAATCGCAAATATCTACAAATCACGAAATAATTCTCGAGAGGAAGTTTATTACATGGAAAATTTCGAGATTTTCGAATTTATCGGTATTCTTGAAAGAGCTGGGATTTTCGAAAGAATCGGGATTCCCGAAAGAGTTTTCCCGAAAGAGGGATTCGGGAAGGTAATAAGAATAAATAATTCGTTAAAGCCCACACCTTCAACTACATCGCAAGATCTAGAAACATCATTCGAGCAATTCCTTCTGTTATATCTTTTGATTTAACAATCTTTCGCGTATCATTTTGTGCACGCGACATATTCTACATCGATTCAGTTTCTTTTCTAGTACATATACTTATGTTTGGATGATATGCTTCAAATGGCGTAATAAACCAGTAGTATTTGCATACTCAGTTTTAAATTGCAGTGTGCAATCAGCCTTTTATCATCTTTTTTTTGAAAATTTTCCTAAACAGAGCTTCTCTTTACCTTCTTCCTTTACACGATGTCCTCTGCACCACTTCCTGCTACCACAACTTCACTCTCACTGTCACTCGACATTTTTTTTAAAGATTTTTAATCTTTATTAAATTTACACAGNATAAACTAGCGAAAATTTTTATATATTGCGCGATTACTCTGAAGCGACGATCACTGCTTAACTCGATTTTTGACTGCATAATTTTTCTCGACATAAATTTCTATTTAATATACATCAATGCAGTTATAACTTAGAAATTAATATCATGAAAGTGTAAAATTAGTATTGGCCAGTTATAGATTAAAAGATTCATAAATTATTACATTTGACATTCGAACATATTTATGAAAGTGCAACCTTGCGATAGAAATCTAAAAACTATTGATTAGTATAACAGAGAAACCGTTTTGAAGTACTGAAAAAAAATTATCAACAGTTCCGGGTCACTGACGACCGGAACTTTAAATTAACCTTCAGCAGTACGGAGACTCAGTACCAATTGAACTTTCGTTGTGTGCACATCGACTAAAATTTAGGAGTGAGTTTTAATAATATTTCTGAATATTCTAATTCTTTAAACATTATCTAATATTTCCAATTTATTTGCAACAATTAGACAATGAATTCTCTTCTGTAATATTTCTAAGTGTTATTCGAAATATTTAACTAATAATTTATAAGAATCTTAAACAATGTGCTTTAAGAGACATGACGTTGACTTATTGAATGAAATAATTAATTTAATTGTTAATCGTAATATAAAAATTGTAAAAATTATAAAATAGTGTCTAGAAATATTGTAGAAATAAAATAATTTAATTATTAAA